AACGATGTGTATTTACGTTTCTCGCCAGAGTTTGGTCCGTTTGAATCGAAACGCGCGGGACAGGTAAAAAGCGCGTGCACGTGCGCTGGAGAACGTTTCACACGGGGACACCTTGGAAGGACGACGACGATTGTCAAGACGATGCATCCGAGGACGTCACCGCGGTTTCACCACGCGAAGGTACGTCGACACATCGACGCAAGTTTTGAAAAGGGAGCCGAAAGGACGGGACACAGCCCCGTCGGAGGAATCGCTCGCGGCGCGGTCTGGGCGGTGACTGAGCGGACCGAGGCGTCTCGACGCACGGCATCTCTCCCACCCTTCTGTCTCTTTCTCACACTCTATATATTTCTCTCTCACACACACGCTCGCTCCCTCTGGCCAGATCCTGCAAGCCTGACTGATACCACTTTTCGGTCGGTCTCGACCCGTCCGTGTTCGCCTTCTGGTTTTCGGCCGCTTGACATTTGACTTTGTTGTTATTTACACGGCACTGGGTACCATTGGGAAGCTGTTACGCGCGGGCTTCGTGTTCTCTGGATGTCCGGAAACGGAGCTTTCGTTAATAGTTCGTTTTAGAGGTGAATTAATTAGGAGTTACTTGAGAAAGGAGGAACGTGATCGTGGTATTTGTTTGAAGATTGGGACTTGTTTTGTATACGGAATGTTTGCTGGTGGATTCTCGTGGGAGAAGAGGCTATGGAAACTGTGTTGTTTGAAGGTACAGTACTTACTGTAAATTGGGGTAACTTTGACTCAAGGTAAGTTTGTGGATAGAGTGGTATATAAAAAGAAGAAAAGAAAGAATTGGTACCCTGAAAAAAGTCTTAAAGAGATCAAAGCAATTGAAATTAATGAACTCAATATCACCTTATGCATATAAGTTCTAAATGTAATCGTAGAGACAGTGAAAAATTGAAAGTTATTTAATCGTATTCGTCAGGCTGGAAGTGCTAGTAATAGGGGATGTAAATATAAAAACGTGTCTAATCTAAAGTGTGCTGGACAATTACTGCAGGAGAGACAATTACACAATGGATTTTGGCAATACAAGAAAGAATAACCATTTGTACTCCAACTGTGTCCATCAAACCAACGTGGCCTAATGTTATAATCCGTTCATATCTCTCTGACATACATAAATGTCTACCGACAGTAACAATATATTGAGGTAGTAAACTGAGTGGGGCTATAAACAGAGGTTGGGTCCAGCAGTTAACAAACGATATCACGACACTAGGCAAGTGATATCGAACGAAGACCTTGTCTACGACTGTGTAAAAACCTCTCTTCTAAGATTGGTTTCCCTTTTAGATCAGTTATGAAAATTTTGGAGGTGATGAAATCGGACTTGGGCTCGAAACTGAAAATGTAGCTACTGTTTATGATTCTGCTGAGTTATCTCAGTATATCTTTACTGTCAACTATATGGATATAGTAGTAATTTAATGGAACCATAAAGAATAGTTCCTTTATTTAGGCTCCTTTACCCCGGAACCCTCTTCAGGGAGTTAAAAATCTTCAGAATTTATCTTAAAGGGAATTAATTTAGAAATTAGATACTTCGTAAATACAACATGTTTTTACTACGATGATACCCTTTATTGACAGCTGACCCAAAACTCTTTTTTGTAACCTCTAATATATAAGTATACATAATTTACGATTGACATCTCCAGAAAAATAATATTTAATACCCCTTGCCCTTGTTATTGGCATAAGTTCTGTGCATTGGTACTCGAGTCACGAAGAAATCTGAGTATTGAAATACCTCATTCCTTCTCCAGCTTCTGTGCTTCACTGCTCTGTAGACGTCCAAGCTTCTAATGAAGCTTATTCTTGTCCACCAGTTCGTTAAGCTTTTTAGCGCCATCCAAGCGGGATAAAAATAAAATGAACAGCAATGTGCTGGGTAGAACTTTCGAAAGAACTTAAAAGTACTGGATGACATGAATAAACGCGAATTAATGTAGATCTCCATTTCTTTATACATAGTTACTAAATGGTAATCGAGAAAGAAGCAAAACTTCGGAACTAGATCTGTTAATTACTTCTACTGTTTCATGATTGAAATACTAATTGCAAGCGTTCATACTTGATAATCGAGTGACACGAGTTCCATAGTTAATTTAGCTAAGATATTAATTAAATACACAGTTCTTATCTTCCATTACCTGACATCTCATCTAAGAAATTGTTTGGTGGAATAGATTTTCGAGGAGTCATTTATCTCTGACAAAGATGAGAACCCTTAACCCTGATGTCCCCGTCTACCCACTATACTTCGGTTCTACTTGTTTGAGTGAACTTGACCTGAAACCTGCATTTATTTACGTACGTTTAAAACTTTCACAGAGGGGCAATTTTGAATATTTGTTTTTTTCACTAGCGCTAATGAAAACGTTAACAAAAAATTAATTCTCCGAAACCAATACATAAGTTACATAAGTAAAAATTCTTAAATTACTAGGACTTTATTAGTAGAAATATCAAAATGATCCTTCATTTGCTTATAACGGAATAATATATTCTTACGTAGTATACAATTTCTTTCTAGAAACTTTGTGATGGAACACTATGAAAAGAATCATATAGCACTGTATTTTCCAAACCGTAATAAAATCGGCTCTGTTCTCGTTATCCCAGTAGTCTATTCAATATAGATTGATGGGAAATAAATGACCGTTCGTGATTCATGTCTACACTGTTGCGGCTGAGATAGGTGAAAATGCAGCACGCTACGGTTCGCTTTAATTCTACAAACTCTAATTTCCGTCAGCCTATAAAAAAATGGAAATAATTCTCTGTATTTTATAATTACAGGATCATGTATTAGAATCGCTCTACTCGTGGATACGTCGTGTAATCTCGAAACGGTTTTTTATACAATTATTATTAGCAATTATCAGAGTGTTAATATTATACGGAAAAGACATCAATTTAGCAAACCTACAGCACTTATCTTGTTTTTTTTTTCGCTTAGTGGATGCAACAGGACCGTTCGTATTAACGATCCCCTAATTCTTTTGAGCAGTGTATAAAGACTTAAGTAAAGGAAGGAAGAGGACAATAATGTGTCAAACCTGTTTCCATAAAACAAAACAAATCAGACCTTCTGCAAGCTTCCACAATCCTGTACATTCATCCCCAAAAGGGTTTCTGTGTTATCCGTGGTCCACACTCGAAACTTCAAATTTGCCCACGAAACGCAACTAAGCTTTCCAATTTGTCTTTCTCACGTACCACCCAACAGTTACCAACGAATCGCGGTCAAAATGCACCGTGACGATTTTTTTCTACTGAATCCGATATCGTCTCGACTGAGTAAATTATGCGCATGCATATTAAGCGACGGCTCGCGAGCCGATTTTTAAAGCCGTCCTTTACTCTTTGCGTCGCGACTAATTGTTTCTGCAAAAATGGAAATTTGCCGGTACAGTTCCCCGCCTAAGAGCTTACTCGTCAACCCTGGAGAGCATCGTAATGCGGTTTCTAAGTTTCCTCGTCGAAACGAAACTTTGGTGCTCGAGCTCGGATCGGTTACGAACGCGCAGTTACCCGTCGAGACGCTCTTAATCGTTCCCTGTCGCTTTTGAATATTCTTCTTTAACACGATAAACACCGAGCTGATTTTGATGATCGTCTTTTTTACACTACGCGATGAGACCAACCGCAACCGCCAAAGTTGTTTACAAATGTTAGAAAATGTTATAAGAAATGTTACCATTATTGGCCACATATAATTGACACAACGCTCCACGTGTTAAGCCGATTGACTGTTAGTCGTTTCGAACGATAATTTTGAACATCTGTCGCGAGTTGCGTTTACTATGAGGCATGAGGTATGATCGAAAAATTTAGATACCAACTTTAACAAAAATAATGTTTTTATAGTAAATTATTAAAATACGAACCTCCTGAATGAATGCACCAACTTCACATCTTCGTCCAGATGATAAAATGCACTGCTGTATTTATTTTCTGGTACCGTTAGTAGCTCTTTCTACGATTTTTTAATAACTTCTCTGCGATATTTAAAACGACGTACTGTTGAAAGTTTATGGTATTTGTGTTGTTGATAGTTAGATTGCGAATGTTTAGACGAATATAAATTTTTATGGATCAATTCACGGAAACTGAAGTTATATAGAAACTTTTTATTACTTTCATTTTCTTACGCTTATCTCGACTGTGTAGTTAGCGCAGCAAAGTAAAACACGATTGCTAATTGCAGTTGAAAGTTACTTAAGTCAAGTTTAATGGGATACTAGATAGCACAAGATCTGCCTTTTTCGACTTTACTATATTAAAGAGTTTGAATTTATTTAGTTACGCTTCGACCGAAAGCGATATCAGAATAGTTAAACAGAGAAATAAATATCGCGATGGCTGTACGATAAAAATAGACGTAATGGGCTAACTTCTGAATTACAGTATTGTTCGCCACGCTAACTTACGCCATACGTTAACACTTTACGGTTATGGGTATCAAGATCGTCCTCCCACCTTAGCCATTCAAGAAATTTAAAATGTATTTCCTTAAAAGCATTAAAGAAACAGTCATATATATTCTTTCTGCGAATGAAATGTGGTTATTCTTCGTGACCTGATCGCGTTCTAACCCCTTAAAGACGAACAACTTTCAATATCGAACATTATGCGAACATAGTTTTGCACTTCAGGAAAAATATAACTATCTCTCATGAGAAAAACTATGGTGATTCGAAGCGATTTTCTTATTTCTTTTAGAAAACGACATTTTAGTGGAGTATTAGTTAGATAAATTCTTAAATAATGAAATTGGTTTTTGATTAGAATTTGCAAATCACACCTAACAACCACAACTAAATTTCGATTTAAGCTGCACTAGCGTTACAGGAAATACAACGCCATCTGTCGTCCACGTCTGTAAATTGAAATTATAACATCTGTATGTTTTGGAACAGACGTGGAATTGCATGTTACGATTTTTATGTATAATTTTAAAAACTATTTCATCTCGATTATTTGTATTGTGCAGAAGGGAGTGATAAAATATGGCGATGAGTTATTGCAAGAACAATGGTAAGACAATTTCAGTTGATGTTTAGGTTAAAGCCTAACTTTGTACGATTCAAAAGTTTGCATCTTTTCATACAAGATTCGATGAAGAAAGAATGTCCCTACATGGAAAAATGTTACCGAAAGAATCCGATCCATTTCAACGAGATGTCACATCCGCATTGTGAGTAACGTTCATTTATTTACCGTTATTTCTTAACCACTTTCCTTTGTGGTGACCAAAAAGGTGAATATTTTGTTTCAGTGGAAAAGATTGTGATGAATCAATTAGAAGGGGAGATAATGGTACCTGATACTCTTGACTTTGAGTGTAACAATCGATCGCTTTTAGTTGATCAGTTAAAAGTTTTACAAATGGTATTAAGGAAGCACAGAAATAATAGTGAAAATAACATGCCCTCAACAACAAAAAATTCCACTGCCACGAATAAAGACATTGGACTAAGTCAGGCCTTGAAAAATAAGGTAGAGAGACATAAACAAGTAACTACCCAAAGGCGAGATAACAAATTGAAAGGAATGGATGATGAAGCAGAAGCTCTTTTTAAATCTTCTGCTAGCAGTAGTCAGAGCAACACGATCAGCAGTAAAGTAAACGTAATGAAGGAAGAGTTAAATAATCTCCAATTGACAGAGGAAAGAATGCGAAAAGAAGAATCCTCTCAGGTGAAAAAAAGGAACAACAGTAGTTTTAGTAATGATGACAGCGAAAAGAAAAGGTCCAAGTCAAATCATGATGAAGAAGTTCAGGAATGTGCTCAAAGTTCTAATGAAAGTTCAAACAGTAGTTCTAGTTCTAATTGTTCAAAACGATCATCCGTATTCGAAGCATTTCAAGTGTGCAACTCTGCAAAGTCCAGGGATGAAGTTAGAGAGAGAGTAATTAAAATGATGAAACGGCATGGTCTACAAGTGTCAGTGGTTGAACCAGGACACTTTGCCCTCAAATATGCTTTGTCAGCACCATATCATTTATTCTTTACAAGAATTCAGAAGTCACAGGAAACATACGATCAACAGTTTTCTATAACATTTCCTGAAATCTTAGACAGAAGCCTAGGAGAAATTGTCTCTAGCTTACAAATAAATTTTATGGTTGATGTCGGGTGGTTATGTTCACAATATTTGCTGGCTGGTCAGCGTACGGATATGTTAATATTATATGGAGAACGGGTAGATGAAGAAAAAGCGGGCTTAAATATTACTTTGATACCTATAGAGATGCCAACCAAGTTTGGTTGTCATCACACCAAAACAATGATCCTAAAGTACAAAGACGATGGCATAAGAGTTGTAGTATCCACCGCAAACTTGTATTCTGATGACTGGGAGAATAGAACTCAAGGGTCTGTGAAATAATTTTAAAAATCATTTCATGTCCATTTGTTTGTTTCGAAAGAATGACAGTAACGGATAAACGGTTGGTTCCATTTTGTCTTAATCAGATTGTGGATTTCGCCTCACCTTCCGCCACTACCGGAATCCGCAAATTCCCGCGACGGAGAATCACCAACAGGTTTCAAGAAGGATCTGGAGCGTTACCTGCATAAATACAGACAGCCAGCTTTAACAGAATGGATCTCGACTGTCCGAAGAGCAGATTTCACATCTGTCAATGTGTTCTTCGTGGCTTCTGTTCCTGGAACACACAAAGACTTAGAATACGATTCTTGGGGGTATCGAAAGTTAGCCGCTGTTCTGTCAAAGCATGCCACGTTACCTCCGGATGCGCCTCAGTGGCCAATTGTTGCTCAAAGTTCCAGTATCGGCAGCTTAGGTCAGAGCTATGACTGTTGGCTTCTAAAAGAAATCGTACCCGCCATGTCGAGAGAGAGTGGAAGCGGTTTAAAAAGTTTCCCGACGTTTCAGTTCATTTATCCCTCAATAAAAAATTATAAAAACAGTTTTGATTGCCAAGTTGCATCCTGTTGCTTACCCTACAGTCTTCAAACGCACACTAAGCAAGTGTGGATAGAATCACACCTACAGTAAGCCTTTTTTTCACATTCGCATTCGATTACTGTTATTGAAGCTTTCAGGTGTGAGTCGTATCACCAACGAGGTATAGTAGTAGACTTGCCTTACGGAACTTGGCGGCCCACCTAATCTGTAGTGCTGACACTAAAAGTCTGTGATTTTAGTGACCTCTACATTATAAAAACGGTGGGTAGAGACACTAAAATGGTAATGGGGCGTCGACGTCCCAGAAAAGTGGGCTGCAAAAATTCTCGAATTTACATGACACGTACATGTAAGGTCTTCTCCTATAACTCGTTCATGGTTGTACCCTTCTGGAATAATTATTTCACGGTTCCATCAGCATTGTAACTACTTTTCTTAGGGGCCTAATGACACACTTCGAATAATTTTTCTTAAACGTACTGACACCTGAAAGCCTCGATAGTAGTAACGTGCATGATAACAACGACATCAGTCGGGTGAAAGCCTCACACCTGAGATTTATATTCTTTATGTGATCAACTACAATCTTAATTATTTTTAAACATCTAATGATGTCCTCAGCCAGTGGAAGGCTTCACACACAGTGAGAGACAAAGCCATGCCTCACATAAAGTCTTACACAAGATTTTCGCCCGACTTAAAGAAAATCCCGTGGTTCGTCCTCACCAGCGCTAATTTAAGCAAAGCCGCATGGGGGATGACTAAAAAGTCACATTACATAATGAACTACGAAGCTGGCATTGTATTTGTACCAAAATTCGTTGTATGTAAAACTATAACTATTTTTCTTTAGCCTTAGAAAAATATCTCTAAAAGTGTTCCATTCGTTTCGTAGACTGGATCAACAACATTTCCGGTTCAAGAGGAAGAGGTTGGAGTACCTGTGTTTCCTATTCCATATGATAGACCCCTAACGAAATACGAATCCGGGGATAAGCCATTTGTCACGGAGTTCTTCCAAGGTCACGAATAAACCGCCAGTACGTAAGCGCTCTAAAAAGTGTACTGAAACCAGATCTGAGTAATCACGAATCTTCAAAACTTATTATACAAACCGTACTGTACAAGTGAATTTTTTTTTTTAATAAATGTGATATATATTCCTTTTGTAATGTATAGTATATACCATCTGATATTCCATCAAAAAGAATCGTCACATTGCCAGTTGGATTGTTAGGGTCAGTCGTGACTTTTTGATCATACACGGAGTGGAAGTAACTTAGTTCCAGTCAGACAAATATTCGTATGCTACGTATAACTATCGACATGTTTGAATCCTATAAGAATCATTAACCGATCATCTGACTTTCATTCCAGTGCAAATTAACCTTTATTCGCTGTTCTATCATTAGATTGAAAAAAATGTTTCAAGGAAGTTCTCTCAGCAGCAATCGAGTTTCTTTTCGGTGTGCTCCCACGTCGTGTCACTCTGTTCTCCGTTTGTTTAATGCCGATTTCGTGGTCGTTCGATCGCGGACCACGCGTTTTCCATAAAACATCAGCAGGAAAGTGTTTCCTGACCACCAGCGCCTTTCCGTCGTATCGCCAGTGCATGCTTCGCGTTCAAACAGCGTTTAACGAATCTATGCTTGATCTTCCATGCGTAGAACAATTATATCTTTTGCAAGATAAGTCCCGACTATAAATCGAATCAACAGTTTCTGGCGGTTTGTGTGGAGAAGTAGCAGTGAGAGAGTAAAAATTTCCATCGAACTCGAGGTATCCTGTCATCGAACGATCGAGCAAGCAAAGGGAGTCGATTCAAATGCAAATTTACCAACGCGTCTTTTACAAGTTCGTAAATTCATTCGGTATAAATCGTAAAATCGAAGCATCGTATCGCGTTGTTTGGAATTTTTTTGAATGGAATTCTACCATTTAAACTCTTTCGGCACTTGATCCGAATGTATTTACGAAGTGATTGTCAAATTTCACGTGTATGCTTGTAGCGACAGTTATATGATGTGAGGAAATATTTGTTCGTTTCACTTTTCGTTTGCTTGACACTCCCTATCTAGTAGTTTCGTTTTACAAAAAATTATGTAACGTAAACATTACTATCGGTTAGTAAATAGGCTAATTTCACGAGGATATCGCATAACGTTTCGTTACTGTCTATATATGTACGTCTCAATGATACTTTCAATAACGAATATTCTCAGGTTTTCTCGTTGAAATTCTAGAAAACAAGACGTACTAAATGACACCTATTTTTCTGTAAGAATAATTTACAGCAATTATGATGTAACGCATTAATCGAACACGATAATCATCGAGCGATGCAATGGGACTCTACGGATAAATTGTAGGGGATTGCCATTAATAATATCCAGTACCTTGGCTGTTTGCTCTTTCCTATCCTTATACTATTAACACAGTACTTTATTAATAAATATCGAAGAAACCTACGCTCAATTTTTTATAAATAATCCACATAATCTCGTGATAAATGTAAAGGTAGATGTCGCCGCGTTTCATGGATCAACGGGCAAAAACGAAAAGGACAAGGACGTTATTAATTACATTTCAAAGCTTTTTTCTCTGCGATTTTTGCTTCTGCTTTTAGACAAGACGTTTTCAAAGTTTAGAACGAGAAACCAATGGTTTTTTCATCTTAATGTCCCACCTTTTATGCATATTCTGACTAAAAAAAAACTTGTTTTAATTCATGGCTATTCAGAGATTTAATGATGCAGGACTAGTTTTTATTCATTAGTTACATTTTTACAGCAGACGATTAATCACTGGTTGTCTACAAAAGTACAAAATCTGCAGACAAAGAATTTGATTGATCGTATAAGTGCCGTGTTCAACGTTCTGTGTATATTCTTAGTGACCTACAGTCAACGTTATTAAATACTAAATATCGCACAACGGAAATAAATAACGATATGCGATATGAATATCAGCTACTTGTAACACAAGTTTTACGTTTGTAGCACAGCAGAATATGCGTTAAAACTTCGCATATATTAGACATAAACTTTTATACCGCTAAAATTATGTATCATTTACATTATCATTACCAAAAAAAAAACCAGGAGTACCAGTATTGCAAGAAAAAGTGAACATAACATTATATAATTATACCTCTGAAAACAAAGTGCTTCCAATTTTATAGCAAAACATAACTTAGGAAGTAAATCTCTCAAAAGTATGTTACTTCTACTTAATTACTAAACTAATGATTTTTATGCAAAGTATCCATCTACACAGTTACGTCCAACATTCATCACATGCAAACATCATGAAGTAATTCATGAAAACAAGAACAAAAGTAGGCACTTCTTTCTTCTCTTAACCCTTTCAACTCCTTTGCCGAGTGTGACTCGCCCTCAATCTCATTCACAGGTACCCCTATACCGAGTCACACTTGACATTTTTAAATTGCCACTTTAATTACGTATTACATTTCACAATATTAAAAAAAAAAATTATTTAAATTTGTTCCTATCAACCAACTGTCTTTGAAGTATATTTAAAATAAAACTTCTAAAATAAGTTATTGGAAAGAAAATAGGTGTGCAAAGGGTTAAGTATCACATGGAGCGAAGAATAAACTAAAAAACTCGTTGCACGTTTGTTAAAAGTTTTGTCCATTATCGTATTTCACAGAGTGTCATAGACTATGAACGCATAAAATCCGTCTACTCATTACACATTCGGAACTTTGTTTTTCCAACGAAAATAAACTTTAACAGGTAACGCTAATTCCCAAAGGAAAAAACGACTGACGAAACCGACAGGCATCGTCCATATTTCTCCAGTAAATCTCGCAACGCCGTTGTCCTCGGACTGGTCAGCCCGTCGTCGTCCCGACCAACGCCTACAAACAACAACAGACTTCGAGTTTCCCATTAAGACCAGACTCCCAAGGATTCTGACGTCAACGCACGATGAGGCTTCGCCTCCCACTAGGTGAGCCGGTTTCACGGTTGGATGTCCCCTCGGCGCAGATGCGACTTTCTGAAAAGGGACGTACCGGCGCCTCTGACGCCTAAAGGGTGACTACCTAACCCGCGCTGAGGCGTCGATCATCAGTCCGTGAGATGTCGTCGATACGAACGGACACTGCCTAGCCCTACACGGTCTCTTTCACGTTTCCTGTATGGTGCGCGTGTGTGTCCTGTGCGCGGCGTTTTTTCCGTCAAACGTGCGTATCGAATACGCATTGTTGTGAGAATTCGAGCACGTAGGGTTACAGAGCGTGCGTCCTGCGGTTCCCTGTTTGGCAAACTGCCGGTAGGTCGCATTGTGTATGTGGACATCGATTGGCGGAGCTGTCCTTATCGGGAAGAGCTTAAAGAGCTAGATAAGATTTTCGGACAGGCCACCCACCAGTACCGTCGTGAAACGCCGTATGGGAGCATCGACACACACGTCTTGGCGCATCGTGAGGAAATAAAGGCCGCAGTCTCGGGAACGATTCTTATTTGGAATAAGACCGGGTACGTGCCACGCGTGACAATCGCCAGTACATCTTGAAGGGGAAAGTATCGAAAGTAGGTTCGGCTCGAAAATTTTGTACAATCAGTCACGACGTGTACCTCCCGAGACGATTCTAACGCGTGTCGGTTCGAAGATCGTATTCTTGGACGTTTTCATTGTGACCCGTTGCTTCCTCGTGTGCATCGACGAGAATTGCGAAAATTCACCGGCATCCTAAGATGCAACCGTCATATCGATACCTATTTTTAACACCCCGTTCACAAGCGAATTCATTGCCAATTGGCTAGCGCGGACCTCGCGACCGCGTCTAACACGTTTCCTCAATATTTGTAGATCGAGCTATGCCTGTGGACGGAACAATTCTCTTTCCGTCTGTTTGCAGGACTTTACGTTCGTACGATTTCCGGAATATCGTCAGGTATCGGTGTATACCTGGAAACGGGTGTGATTCATTGTTTACCGGACTAGCAGAAATTACCTCTTTAATTCCGATCGTTATCTCTCCGGCGCGGTTTTTCCATTATCGAGCGTATGCTTCCCGAGACGTTCGGAACGTTGCGCTAGAAGTGGAACCTTCCGCGTGCGTGCGCGATATATTAATGGAACCGCGTATACAGGCTGGTTCGTAAAAGCATGAACGGTGGAAACGATCATAATTTCCTCATTTTCGTTCAAACGTTCCGTTTCTCATGTTTCAGACTCTCGAGGGGGGTCTGCTGCTTTGCCCGTTCGATAAGAGAAAAAGGAAAGCTGTGTCTAGTAGACATGAGCCGGCCAGGTATTCCAAAATGAGTCTGTTCGTCGTCGTTTGTCGCCGGTACACCAGTGAGTCCTTGTCATGCTAGTCAAGCAGCGCAACGGTTTGTTGGCGAGAAACGAGCCAGCAGGAAACGCCGTCAGTCTCGACCACGAATCAATAAATTGGAGGGTGGCTTCACGACGGTGGCGAAATCCCAAAGCCTGACCACGCGCGGGTCTCGTGTTGGGGGGGGGGGGGGGGGGGGGGGGGTTAGGGTTGAAGAACGAAGTGTAACACCGTCAGGATGACAGCCTGCTGGGTGCTGACAGGGATCTTCGGCGGGGTCGTGTTGCTCTACGGCCTAATAGAGATCCACTACTTTCTGCGCATGTTCTTCACCGTGTTCTTCGCGCGTTTCTGCAAGAAAAAGGTTCACATCCTCGACGAGACCACTATCTACGGTACGTTCGATGTTTCGCGTTCCTGAGAGCATTTAAATCGGCAAATATATACACAGTGAAATAGTATTGATTCGCACTTGGAAATGAAGCTTCTGTTTACCAGCTGAGCAAATGCAGGCAAACACAGACAGTGTTCCTCTTTCTCTGGCGTGTTGCGCTTTTAAAGGACATTAGCGGATGCAATAGCATCGATTCCATGAAAATGCATATATTATTCTCCTCCCGGTCGCCACGTAAGCCCAGAATCCTTACAATTCCACGACTTATCTCGGTCTCGTTCTCGTAAACCTTGACCTACCATGCGCGCGAATTAGTCAGGCCGGCCGGTGGCTCGTGTCGCGAATCCCCGCGCCGCGAGTATTGATTCCGTACACGACGGAAGAGACCACCGCGCTGCTGTGTGTCTGAAGTCCCCGGAAACTGGACCAGCGGCGTCGAAACGTAAACAACAACACGGTTAGGTTCGTTTGCCAATGGCATCCACGGAACCGAAGCTTCCGATTACCACCAATTGCGCGCTGGAAATCCCCCCATCTTTGGGTACGTCCATCAATCGGTGGGGGGGCCAATACGTCTTTGTCACGCCGCGTGACCACCACGAGGAATAATAAATCCCTCGGAACGCTTAGTATGCCAGAATATTCTGACGAATGCTAATCTTTTATTTATTAGTCCTTGCGCACGAACGAGGTAACCGAGGAGCGGCCTGTCCGCGCTCCCCCACATGGTGCATCGACGATTTCGCGAGAGTACACCGACGAACAAACTCGGCTTCCGTCAAGGGAAAAAGCGGCGTAGATGAAAAGTCTTCTACCAGTTGGTAAATTTGTTTCTGGCAGTGAAATAAATCCAATGTTAATTTGGCATGAATTTCAGTAATTCCCAATACCAAGTGGTAGGAGACTTTTCTTCTGCAACCACTTTTTTCCCTAGACGAGCTAACTCGGCTTCCGCTGGGGGAAAAAGTGTAGTTGGCGAAGGGCCCACTACCAATTTTTTTTGGGAGTTACTGAAATTTGCATCAAATTAACATTCGATTTAATATTTATTTCCGTACTTGAAATAAATTTATCAAGTGATAGGAGGACCTTTTCTACGTTACTTTTTCCCCTAGTGGAAGCAGAGTTTGCACGTGGGTGTACACCGACGAGCAAACTCGGCTTCCACTAAGGGAAAAAGTAACGTA